TCATGGCGATGGTAGTACAGCATGCAGAATATAGCCAATGATTATATAACATCTTCCTGTGTTGACAGGTAGTAAACTGCACTAGTGAGGGTGAGGATTTAGTAATATGGGTAACTGTTGAACCACTGTGTTGTATACTTGAAACCAATATAAGATTGTATATCAATTATACATCAATTTTTTAAAAAGATACTAATACTAGAGGAGAGAAGTAGCTAATATTTCAAATAGATCCATTCTGATAATTACAGGGTTGGGGGGAAACTAAATAAAAAGCAAAAGAAAATTTTGCCAGAGGTCAAAATCAACCAAGGCCTTTAAAAAATGTTCAACTTCTTTGAAGATACATCTACGTAAAACTATTTCCTAAAGCTGTCCTAATCCAAACTGTTTTGGGATCAAAAACTAAAGATAGTCCTCATTTTATAGTTAGGGAAACTAAAGAAATAAAGGACTTCCTCTGGACCAAACATATTGCAAGAATAAGAAGTAAGGTTTGTAACAGACTACACATAGACTGAAGTTGTTAACTTTTTAACTACTAAACTAAGTTGTTAGTTAGTTGTTAAGGTAGACGCTAGTCTACCTTATAATTTCTAGTCAACTGCTAGATGACTGATACTTACATTAGTATTATGAATTCTTCATTTTTTACCCATTTATTCTTTGTTATTTAGCTTTCTGATATATTGTCCATTATGTTTTATATAATTCCATGAGCTAGACATAATCAATACCATGAATTATGAAAGGTTCTAGCAAGCACCTTGTAAAATACTACTGCTGTATAGATATTAATTAATGATGAGAGCTGAGCAACATTTTATACACTCAATATTGTTATTTATCATTTCAAAGAATAAGTCTTAAAAGGAGGACAGGAATTTAGGTGACTTCCTTCCCTGTCCTACATTTTGTGAGCATCTAGGGAACATGTATAACAATATTATTAAATACTTTGGAACTTACATCTTTCAGTATTCTTGTGGACTTAACAATTCCTTTGTCCCCTGAAATATGCAAAAAGTGAAATTTTTTATCTGCAAATTATAAGAATACTCAAGGAGGTCTGAAATAACATGTGCATAAACAATTGTAGCTAAGTTATTTTTAACTTGTGTTATTTTGTATTTTATGTAGCAAAAACAGTCCAGTAAAATACATTACTCTTTAATATCTTCAAATACATATAATCCTATACTTCCAGTTGTTGTTTTTTTCTACCATTGATTTTTTAATATTTTTAGATAGACAATCCTTTCCTGCCAGTAAGTGACCTTGGGTGAGTCAACCTCCTTCAGGTTCTGCTTTTCTCATCCATAAAATGAAGTGCTTAGACCACATGATTTCTGAAGTCCCTTTTAGCTCAGTTATTCTCGTAGGAAAATAGGTGCATGCATAAATATTCTTACATGCAGCTACCTATAATAACAAAAATGTAAAACTGTAGATTATTTGGCTCAATGTTGTGATTTTTATATTGGTGAAGGTCTAACATAATTGGTATGGTATACAAATGGCTGGTCTTCAAAATCAACTGGGTAAGCCATGAGCTGGCCCCTGGAACATTCTCTCTCCAGCATGCACTATTAGTAGCTCTACTCCCAGACCAGATCCTATGTTACCGGTTCGGCAGCTCCCACCCCTGCTTCATCATTCTGGACAGATGACTTGTTTTCTTCAATGTAATTTTCATTGCCCACGACTCATCATCATTCTTAATGTCTGATTTTAATATCTATTGGACTTAGGGTCAGAATGTTCTGTCTTATAATTAAATTCTGACTTCCTTTCCCTAATTTTTTATGGACAAATGATAATGGCTCAGCACCTCTCTTAAGAAGTCCTTTATGTTGTCAACACCTACTAAAACATTCACTGAATATTACCAGGGAAACAAAAATCCATTTGACTTCTTTACCTTCCAGTATCTTTAGTTCCATCCTGACATATAGTAAGCAAAACAGGACTAAGAATATAATTTAATTAACATATTCATTCATTCAATACATTGTTGATACATGTCTACAATATGCTAAGCACTATTCTAGACACTCAGCATTTCCCTTAGAACATTCTGTGATAATGGAAATGTTCTGAATCTACTCTGTCCAACACAGTAGCCACTAGCCAGACATGGCTATGGAGCCCTAGAAATGTGGCTAGTGGGTCTCTGGAACTGAATTTTTAGTTGTAAGTAACTTAAATTGAAAGAGCATATTTAAAGTTGTTTAATGCTGTATCTTAAATATATATATGCATATATGTATATGTGTGTGTTTGTGTGTGTGTGTGTGTGTATATATATAATTTTGTTTTTTAAACCAGACGATGGAGAACAGATTGATGTTTGCCAGAGGCAGGGGTTGGGGGTTAAGGAGCAAAGGAGAAATAGGTTTTGTAGGAGCTTTTTTTGTTAAAATAAATTTTTAAAAATTAAAGTATTTAAATAAAGGTATTTAAAATTCTGTAAACAAATTTTTTTAGATGCACAGAGTCACTTAGCTATAGGAAGAGGTAAATGTGCATCATTCCCCCTGGAAAGCAATCTTCCTAAGGGTGGCTATTGATTTCTGTCTGCATTCTGGAAGATTTTTGTGGCCTTCCAACAATTCAATCAATATCATCAACAAGCCCAGCAGGAATTTAGCTTTCTCTTGAATTTTGGAAGGTTCGCAGTGCCATTCACTCCTCATTTAGATCTAAAGTTGCATGAGCCTAGTTTCTACATGTGAGCATTATATTTTAACAATGACATTAGATAATTTCCTTGAAAGTTCAGCCAATATGAGACAATCATTGTTCTAATCACTTTATGTTCCCTACAAGACAGATGCCATTACTGTCTCCATTTTACATATAATGGGGATCCAGAGAAGCTAAGCAACTTGCCTAGTAGTTACTAACATTTAGAGAGCTCTTTCCACCTGTCAGACACTTTCTACTAGCTGTGTACTAGGTTCTGCACATTTGCTTAATTTAATCTTCCATGATGTAAGCTATATTATTATTTACATTTTTTTTTATGTGGAGGCTCAGGTGCAAACAGGTCAAGTAACTTATTCAAGGTCACAGAGATGATGTAGGGCAGGCTTGGACAGTCCCTTACTTAGAGTTGTCTCAGTTCCGAACCATCATGCTATCCTGCTTCTCAAGACATATTTTGTTAGAATAACTTGGTTATTTGTGGGCTTAGATATGTTGTGGAATTTTCCCCTTCAAAACTTAGATGAATTGCCTAAAAATTATTATTGTGCTATGTTAGTAACTTTAAAAGGAAAAAAATAGCCACATGTGGCTCTTAAGGCTTCTACATACTAAAGATGGTAGACAAACAGTAAAGAAGTAATTTGAAAAATAACCAGGGTAATTTAAAGTAGTGTTAAGAGGTAAGAGGGAACTAAAACAGGAGGATGTCATCTCTGTTACCTCCTGGAGTCAAGGAGGGGTAGAGAAGGATGGGGTGTGAGGTGCCACTACTTTGGAATAACGGTGGATCAAGGGAAGAACTCGCTAATGAAGTGACACGTGACCTGGGACTGGATGATGAGCAGAGAGCAATACAAAGAACTGGGAGAAGACTATTCCCAGAAGGTCTGGGAAATGCAATTGCCCTAAAGACCGAATAAGCTTATTGTGCTGAGGCAAAAAAAAGAAAGCCCGAATGTCTGAAGCAGTCTGTGCAAGAAAAGTGTACAGGGCTGGAGAAGGAGGCAGGGGCTAGCTAGGTCACAAAGGCCACTCTTGACCAGAATTAAGGCAAGTAGGAAGCCACCACAGTCTTTGAAGCAAAAAAGTGACATGATGTGATAATATATTTTTAAATGATCTCTCTAAGTGCTTCCTGGAGATTAGATTGTTTATAGGTAGATAAAAGTGGAGGCAGAGGTCCAGGTAAGAAATTATTTCACTTGCCAGTGTGGCCTAGGGTGGTAGCAGTGAAAATGGTAAAAGTGAAAGATTTCCAGATATACAGAATTAGTACAATAAACTGATTACTGTCTAAGCATCACATAGCATTAAATCCCTTTACACTTCAATATAAGGTTGAATTTTTGTTTATCAATCTAATATTGCCTACAGTTACCAACTGTAATAATGTTCCCTATTATTATTCATATAAACAAATGACGTTCATAGCATCAGAATGGTTTGTCGAAGTTTGATAGTTCAGGGAAATGCACCAATAAAAGCCTAGAAATGCGTGGTTTGAAAGAAAGGCTTTCATTTTTTACCATATCCTGCAAATAAGATTTATCATGTTAAGAGTTATGAGCTGATTATGCGATGTCTGCGTCTCGATAAATTATTCCTGGCTTTCTACTTATGTGCAGTATGTGTGGTTTATTGCACAAAGTAAAGCTGAGAAGAATTCCAGTACACATGTTCATGTAGGGGCTATACACATGTCTAGTCAGTGTATATAAGGGTTTTTTTGTACCCTGTCTCTAGTGTCTTGGCATTACTTTTATTATGTCTGCAGTACTCGTGTAGATGAAATGCCACAACACATTCTTTTACTATTGTAGCCTCAACCGGCCTTTCTTTTTCTTTTTTTTTTTAAGAAAAAGCAATTACCATCATAAAAATTCCTTACTGGGGAACTTTCCATATTGTGTTATCATTCCATGAGCCTAATAATAGTGAATATAAAGAAAAAAAACATTTTTTCATGCTAAAATATCTAAGAAAGACTTTTGAGGTCTCTACAATGAGAAACACTTTAAGTCTGGAGGAGGTAAGGAAAAAAAGAAGTCAAGTTTTTTGGACTCCTGGTACATACATGTTAGAGATTTATAAATCATTGAATAGTTAAAGATAATTTGCAAATCACATGCACTTTTACCAATGTCTAAATACAGTTAAAGAACTCTCATTCTGTTATCTGTTGGGAGAATGCTAATGCCTATAATTGGTCATTGCCTGACCTGTATGTATTTCTATCCTGATAGGTCTATCTGCCTAAAAGCTAATTATGTGTTTTCTGTGAAATCTTGCAGTGGTGTTATCAGGGAGATTGTGTTCCTTTTGGCACTTGGCCCCAGAGCATAGATGGGGGCTGGGCTCCCTGGTCGCTATGGGGAGAGTGCAGCAGGACCTGCGGGGGAGGCGTCTCCTCATCCCTAAGACACTGTGACAGTCCAGCGTAAGTAGCTAAAGTAAGCCGGAGCCAACAAAAAGACACAGTTGGAAATGATTCAAAGCTGTGGTTTCACATGTTATCTGTAAAAACGTTTCACTAGTGAGCCGAGTGTTTGTCTTCAGAACAAGCAATAGCACAGGGAAGCAGAGGAGCCTTGTTAGACAGACTTTCTTTTTCTTCCTTTCCCTTTACTGTGTAACTAAAAAGAAAAAAGAAAAGCATTGTGTATCTGTACCAAGTAGAGCCAGACTTTTAATCTAGTAATAATCAGATAGATTTCCTTCTGTAAAAACTACTGAATTATGGATGAATCCAGGTCTGGTCTTAGCTACATTACCATTATTCCCAAGAAACCTAAATTCTTTTCACATGTCACATAAAATTATTATTGCTACATTAGTATTAAAAGGACCAATGAGAGCACTCCAAGGGTTGAAATGCCTTGATTCGCATCACAAATCACAATGAAAAGAATACTGCCCATGTGTTCAAATAGTTTCCATTCATATGCCCCCATTAATCACTTTCTGGACTTGCCACCACTTTCCTCCACATGACTGTTTTATGCAGGTCCCACTGTTCTTCTCCCACCACCCTTTTTCTCCAGCTAGTGTCCCCCTGGTGCAAGGACAGCTCCTTCAGTATTCTTTGCTAGCCATTTTGCTTCTTCTTCCCACCAATGCCTGTTACAGGCAGACTGGTCCTCTAGGTGGACTTCCCTGCCCTCCCAGAGACTAAACTGCTCCTTAGCTGCTGCAAGTCAGGAGCTCAGGTTGCAGGCCTTCTTTCCCAACTAACATTCGGTACAGAATGATGTTCTGATTTCACTTCTGCCTTTCTTCCCCTTATGGGGTAAAACATGGTCAATTTTTATTTTTATTATTTTTCTCATTGTAACTCAGAATCCCTCTCTGTTTCCTCTCTAAATGTCTCTTTTATTCCCTTTTACTTTTTTTTTTAACATGAATTTATTTACCTTTGTATTAGTTCTGTGCTTCCATTCTGCTTTCTATGGATTATTAACCTCCTGCTAAACAGAGCTCCTATCACCCACTCAAACCAGTCACGCTACCACCAACCCCGCTACCTTGTTTTTGTCTGATCAACCCATTTCTCCCAGGCTGGTTCAAGCTGGGCCATTTCTTTTCCTTGTGTACATTCAGCATTCACTGATATTAAAAATATATTCAAAATGCAGCTTTCATTATACCACTGATATCAGTGAGCCAAAATTATAATTTAGACTTCATTTTTTCTAAACAAATATAAAATAACTAACCTAAGTTCAAGTGTAAGCTATTGTAAATTAAAAACCAAAAGTATAAGACCCCATCATACTTAAGAGAATGATCCTGACCTCTTTTAAAAAAAGAAGTTAGTTTTTTCCATTCAATGTAGCATACCCAAATAACAGCATAAGGATTTCCCTAATGACAAATACTTTAAAAATTAATACATGTAAGCCAAATATTTGACATATACTTTTTCATTAATTTGAATGTAATATAGTTATATCATAAAAAACCATCTGATTCTTAACTTAATTTTTTTAAACTTCATGTAATATTTGAAATGAGATAGAAATTCATTTCTGCATTATTTACTTTGAAGTGAAGCTATTTCCAGAGAGTTTTTAGTATCATCTCCTTGTTTTCAGTCTGGAAAAACAAACTTCCATTTACTACTGGGCGAACATATAACATCAGCTCATGGATTTTGTTGAATGTGATTTAAATGGCTTTTCACTATAAAGAAGTGATTTTTAAACTAATTGTTTTAACTAAACACTCACTTACTACAATTTATAGAAAATAGATTTAATTACATTTTCTTAAGAATATAAATCATGACAAGTTAGTACTGTAAAGTTATCCTTAGTAAATTGCCTTAATTTTTTACCATAATCATTATTGCTAACACTCACCAGCATGATTATGATTTTAATAACCAATAAAATGTCAAACTGTGTATTTTCTTAAAGTAAATGTTAATGTTTTCATCAAGCAATATATATACTCTTTATGTAGACAGATATATTCACATGTTAAACAAAATATGTTTTCAGACCTTCAGGAGGTGGAAAATATTGCCTTGGGAAAAGGAAACGGTATCGCTCCTGTAACACAGATGTAAGTAAACCAAACTCTGCTATGAAAAATTAGCTTACATTTGCCCCAGAGCAGGGAAATTTTTTGACCTGTAAGCTATTTAACCATAAATTCATGTGTGTGAGGGTCACATGGATTTTTTAAATTGTTAATAAATGGAACTGGCCTTGGGTCCATCAATTCCATCAACAAGGGTTGAGGGGAAGCTCCAGTACTAGGAGCAAATAAACTCTACCCCAGTAAGTATCTGGAGAGAGCCACCCACACTCACTGGTCCCCCAGTACTCTCAACTTCGCCACTACCATCTTTCTCAAGTACACCAGCATTAATCTCATTAAGTCCCTTATCCCATTTTGTGGTTGCCAGTGCAAGAAGCCCAGACTCCCACATCATTCCTCATCTCTTGCCATGCAGTCTCATCAAGCTGTGCATACCCCCTCTGCTGTTTTCTATCCCTTCCCTACTACTGAAACTCTTCAGTGCCCTCTGGAATTCATGATCCATCATCAGCAAAATCCCTCACATCCTGGCATCTCTGAATGTTCCTTCTCTTCCACCTTTTGGTTCTAAGGCAGAGTGGCTCTCCTCTGAAGATGCTGCTCCCTCTGTTACCCTCTAAAGGTGAGGACTTATGTTTTCTCCCTCAGCTCTTGAATGACTAGAAATGGATTCATATCTTCTTTATATCTCATTACTCCTTCCTGATAATTCTTCCTCCCTCTTATCTAAAAACTACAGCTTTTAATTATATGTCATGAGTCTATTATACACTGTCCCTTACTCTCATGTTCCTCAACCCTATGCCTGTCTTAATTCTTGGTTACCTCATAAATATGTAGATGATTTTTCCAATACCTTCTCATCTGGATTTTTCCATAAGCATACAAACGTGATGTTAGTTCTCCTACCTTAAAAAAAACAAAAACAAAAACAAAAAGCCTGCCAGTTATCCTTCTAACTTTAAAACAAAATTCCTCAAAAGAGTTACCTGTACTTACTGTGTCCAATTCCTCTTATTTCTTCCTAAAATTGCTCATGTCTGTTTTCTGCTGCCATCATTCTAATGAAAATGCCCTTATGGTTTATAGGAATTATAGCTTAATTCCTGCAAAGCCTGTTATAATAATACTATAACAAATACTTGGTGTTGATTGATCTTAGAGGGAAAAAAATGATATTGCTGAAGATGTGGAGGGCTCCAGGCAGTAGAAGAGAAATAGTAGGTAAATAGAAATTTACATTGATTACATGGCAGAAGCAGTGATGGAAGGAGTAGATGATCAATTCCTTGAGGGAAGGAGCTCAAGATGCTGGGAAAAACAGTGAACCCCACAAACCACCTTATGATCCTATTCTTAAGTCACACAGTGTTTATGTCATAAATTCCTACTGGCTTTATAGAACAAGTAAAAATTTATTGAAATCAAATAATATCAGGATTTTCCCCAAGAAATTAGATTTTTCAAGGAAAGCTATTCAGCTCATTTAAATTTATTAAACAGTTCCCTTGAATGTGTTTTCCCATTTGTGATAATGGTTCCATAAGATGGGAACTATATTTTGTTAAGAATGTGTTCAACAGCAGACTAAGTATCTAAAAGTTTTTAATTTCAAATTCAACCCACAGCAAGTCCTCTTCCAATATTTCACTTGTTTTCTTCCCAAAAGCTCATGAGAAATAATGGCCAATGTAATATAAATCCAAGATATTGAAGACATTGCCCAGGGAAGTTCCTTTAAGATTATTATCAGTTTTCTAGAGTGGATCACAAAATGCTACTCAGGAACAGGTCTGGCTTAAAGGGAGGCCATGCCATACAAACACTGGTTCCATGGTCATTCAAGGTCTACATTTAAAAAAGCATGGATTTTAAATAGCAAGTCTAAAATGCAGTGTTGTCCTAATAGCGTTGATCATCTGTCCTCTATGCTTTCTGGGAAAGCAAGGACCAAAACTCATTTACATTCTCGTGAGTCTTTGATATGGCCATAAATACCCTAGAGAAAAAGGAAGAGAGGGAGGGATTCCTGGTCCTATCAATAACTAGCCAGCTTTTTATTTTTTATATTTCAAACAAATACCTGTTCTACCTGTCTCTGGAGATAATTCAGGATGACTTGCCAGTAGTTTTTGGTGACTTCAAGGAGAATTTAGGATTTATTGATACAAAGGAAAACAAGTGCAAGCAAAGGGTACATTAACTACCTTTACGTGCTTTCACAGGTTTGCAGATGACAAGGACATCAATATCCAGTTAAGTTTGCAGAGCAGTTAGTTATGTTGCTAAGAGCTTATGAGGGAAACAGTATAGGCTGCCACCCAGAGCCAAGTGGGAAGTCAGCCTGAGGCCTGCAGGGTGTCTGCGGGAGCAAAGCCCTGTCAGCGCTGGTTGATCTAGTAATTAACTGTCAGTCTAATTTATATACAGGCCAGGAGGTTCCCTGGTATAAAAATGAATGAACAAATGGTACAAGGATACCTTTTGGAAGACCATATTACCTATAAGTGAATTAAAGGGTCATCGTGGAATTGCCAGGACCTCTCAAGATTTTCTGCCAAATGTAGTCTTTTTGGAAATGATTACAAATTAAGTCCTTTGGTGGCAAGTGTAAAGGGAGGAGAGCAACTTGGAGGTGGTAGGGAGGGAAGAGAAGGGCAAAGCCACAGAGCATACCCTGCAGTGGCAAGTATAAAATTCTTTGGAGTTTTCCATGTTTTGTCTTTAATATCCTTATGAATTATGCATTCCACCCCATTATATGTCCTCTTTGTTTTAATATGAAAATGAAGCACTGTTTTATTGGGAAGTGATGTAGGAAGAAACACCCCTCTGTGCCGTGTTACTCAAAGCCAGTTTGGAAAGTCTAGTCCTGATGGAAAGGCACATACTGGCAATCAGCAGAAGTTTCTTTGCTGTATTTCTTTTTAAATGAGCCATTCTCTATTGTCATTTTGTGAGAAAAATTCACAAGTTCTAATCCAAACCAAACACAACATCTACAGACCTATATAAGCTGTTTCAATTTACAATTATCCAAGGAAGATAATGCAGAAGTGTAAAATGAAATGGCCACAATTCTTTGCTACATACAATATTTTTATACAAATGAAAAACTCTGACAAATATTTCAAAAATAAAGGTTCCATGTTCCATTTTCTATTGACTTATATAGCTCAAATCAGTAGAGGACATATGTTGTGCCAACCACATTACCATATGCATAGAACCCACCAGATTCCAGGGGGTATGGGAATGTATATTGTAGACATAGAAATATTCAAAATGAGAGGGTGGCCAAATGGGGAACTATAGTACTTGCACCTTCTTAGCATTTAAAAAAATTAAACTAAAAACTAATTGAAGAGAAACTCCTAAGGGGAAAATAGTGGTGAAATATATCTTCAGACTCTCCCCACCTGCAATTTGAACAGGACCTTCTAAAAGTCAAGGAAAGAAAAGCATTTCTTCTCTGTGTGTCTTGAAGTAACCCAAATGACATCATTAACTAATCTCTCAATTGAAGTGATCCACCCATGTGCACCAAGGCTCGCTCCTTCTATTCCCCTGCTCTTTGGAATGGCATGCTGGCATAAAACTCGGTATTTCTGATGCACTAGCAAAGAATTTGACCCAATGACCCACATGATATTTTGGCTAAATGGCAAAGATAGCTTGAAAAGTATTGCTGTGAAACAACTTCCCAGCAACTGAGGAAGGCTTAAATCATGACTCCTTTAAATATGAGGTGGGAAACACAACAAAAACAGTAACTACTCTGGAGTGGGGATCTTTTTTTGAGTTAGACTGGGAGAGCCACAGACTCTTTTCCAAGACAAATAGTAGTCATATACACAGTAACACAAAAGGTAGTTACTAAAAACATATGATACTAAAAAGGTAGCATTATGTCAAGAATATTTTGCAGATGATATTGATTACATAAAGAATAAAATTCAATTGACCAATTATTAATAAATAATTGGTGCAGCACAAGGTAATATCAAGTCACTGAATATCTGAAAACCAAACATTTCCTCATCTCAATCACATCTATGGAAATATTGTACCCAAAGTGTTTCTACCTAGTCCTAAAGAACTGTGTATTCATAAAAAGAAATGCCTTTGACAAGTTATACATGACATCCATGTTGCTAAATCCACTATTCAATTCTGAGCATTCATCTTACTTGATATTCACTAGGCTTCCATGACACAACTTTTTGGCTGTCCTTTTATATTCCTACTTATTCTTTCTCAGTCTCTTGATTCCTATTCTTTTCTCTGACCTCTTAATGTTAGAGTACCTAGGACTTAATCCTTGATCTTTTCCTCTGCTCTAACCATAATCATTTCCTTGGTGATCTCATCCAGTTTCATTGGTTTTGATACTATTCATATATCAAACTTATATTTTCATTCCAGACTTCTTCCATGGATTCCAGACTCATATCTTACCATTAATTATATTTTAATAGACATCTATTACTTAACATGTCCAAATGTTGCCTCCAAAACATTTCCATAGCCTGTTCCTCTAGCAGTTTTTTCCATCTCAGATGTCAGTCCCATCCGGCTCAGCTGAAAATCAAGTCATTCTTGATTCCTTTCTCTGTCTCACAGCCTATAGCCAATCTCTAAGGAAATCCCCTTGGCTTTGCCTTCAAAATATATTATAGATCTGACTAGTCTCACTGCCTCCATTGCTGCCATTCTATCTTTACTGGATTATTCTAAATAGCTTTTAAGTCAATATCCAGTTACTATTCTTGCTCTCTACATTCCTCAATATAGGAGGCAGAAGAGTCAGATTATATTCTTTACTCAGAACCCTTCAAGGGCTCCCAGTTCTACTTAAACCCAAAGTCCTTACAAAGTCCTGCAAGGTTTACACAATCTGGTCTGTGACTTTTCTGGGCTCCTCTCTTACTACGTTCCTCCTCACTCTGTTCCATGCTTGTTCCCCTCCTTCCTTATATGCGCTAGGTGTGCTCCCACCTTATGGCCTTTATGTTCGCTGT